CGTTTCTTTGATCGGTTTCGCAACATGTGGCCGAACGTTGTCGTGCTGGAAAATCACTTTGTCCTATCTTTTCGCGTTATCTGGCCCTTTTTGCTTCAATGTTCGGTTAAATTGCATCAACTGTTGTTGGTAGCGTTCCCCAGTGATGGTTTTATTGGGTTGGAGCAGCTCATAATACACTACACCCTGCTAATCCCACCAAATACAAAGCATGAGCTTGGCGCCAAGAATATTCGGCTTTACCGTCGATGTTGATGATTCGCCTGGCCTGCACCATAATTTCTTGCGCTTCGGATTATTGTAGCGTATCCATTTTTTATCACCCGTCGCGATACGATGCAAAAAACTTTTTCTTTTGTGTTTTTGAAGCAACAAGTCATTTTGCGCCTTTCGGCGCCCTCAGCTTCAACTCGTACGGCACCCAATTTCCTTGCTTTTGAATCATTCCAATGGCCTTCGAACGTCTGGAAATCGTTGATCGATCAACATTTAATGATTCTGCAAGTTCTTTTTGTGTTTGACTCGGATCTTGATCGAGTAAAGCTTTCACTTCCTTATCTTCAAACTTTTTCGGCTGGCCTAGATGTTCCTTGTCTTTCACTTGTCAAAATCACTTTTTTTTATAACGTCGAAACCAATACTCACATGTTGAAATCGATGGAGTATAATTACCATAAGCATTCGTTGACTTTCAGCAGCACATTACTTCAAATGGAAGTAAAAAAGCAAAGCTTCCCGCAAATTGCGTTTTGTTGGTACAAAATTCGACATATTCAATTTTCAAAAAAACAATGTTGTTTATACATCGGCAAAATGACACATACTGAAAACTAAAACCACATGATGGTGCTTTGACATGAAGGTAGCAACAATATGGCCCGATACGATATAGTATTAGTTACGTCATCTCTTGAAAATCCTTTAAAATTAATGCACATTCCCAATATGTAAAATCTTCCGCCACACGTATTAAGATTTAATTAATGTCATAAGTTCACATTTACATGATATGAAACTCTACCAAATTTTAACTTCAACATTTCATTTTTGTTGGAGATATAGAGGGAGAAAGAAAAATGCATAAAATTATTTTTCTCAGAAACGGCTTAATCGATTTCAGTGAAAAAAAATATATGTTATAACTATCAATCAGACTATTTTCTAGAAAAATTAAAAGATTTTTCCGACAAAAATTTCAGATAAAAAAAATTTTTTGAATTTTTTGAAAAAATTTTTTGAGGTTATGTTTTATAGTCACACCAACCATTTTTCACATGTTTATTCCCCAAAATGTGTTCTTCAACATACATTTTTACCAAATTTTTTAGAGTGGTGCAACATTGTTAAAAATAATGAAAATCGTGTACTACGCCCTTACGGAAAAATACTATTGAGACTCAATACTAAATATTGAAGTTGTAATACTGAACTTAATACTTAGTATTCAAGTTGTAATACTGAATATTCAGAGTTAGTATTAATCAATATTGAAATATCGAGTCAGTTAAGTATTGATGAATGCTAAGTATTGAGAATTAGTATTGGTCAATACTTAAATATTGATGTAATTAACTATTGATGAAGACTTTACTTGTTAGACCAGGGGAAATGCTTTATGGATACTCGCAGCTCTCGATAGGGGAGAGGCACAGGTTATATGGGACTCTTCTCCGCATAATTATGGAGGCCTATCCACTAAAGTCTCTGGTAGGTCGTCCTTTGCACTTATGGCAAGGGACGTCCCGGGAACTACTTGCATATAACATCCGGAGTGCCCCTCTTGCTCTGTCCGAGGAATCTAACATCCCCCTTTTCTTCCTCCTCTTCTTCTTTGCCGCCGTCGTCCATCATTGGTCGCCCAAGTGGGCGACGGCGGCTGCTTCCACTTTCTTGGATTTTCCCACAGTCGACGTCCTTTTCCTACGAAGGACGACGCCGAAAGGGGACTTCCCTCGGACGAAACGACCCGTCCCGCGGGCACACTCCCGCGCACGTGATCGGTCCCTCTTTGTTGTCCCCAGGAACAGATTTCCGTCCATAGGTTTTGTTTCTCCTCGCGGAACTCCTTAATCTCCTCGCGATAGTTTGCAACCTCTCCCTGCAGGCAGGTCACCTCCGCCCTTACTCTTAAGAGTTCCGTCCGCTCGGAGGGCACGGCCCTCCCATTTTCGAACCCTCTTTAATTGGACTATCTTCTTCTTACTTGCGACCTTAGTCACATCCACCGTTAGGTTGTAGAGCCAATATACATTCACGTTTATCAACTTCAGATATCCCTTGAAGTCTGAACGGTTGTTCCCGCCCAGACTCCTGCAATTCTTCCTATTCTCTAGCCGAGCTAGAAACATCTCAGCATCCTCCTGATACTTTAATGCTGCCCGCCTCACGTACTCGACGTTGCACAGATCCCACCAGTCGTTATCCCTGGATAATCCCAGGTCGCTGACTGACAGCTCCGTGCCCACTGAGCTCTTCCCTCCTGACTCCTGCCGTGCCTTCTTCGCCTCGCTATCCGAGGCTGCTCCCTCGGCTACTCTTCTACCTTCTTTTTCCCTTAGAGCAACTCATTGTTGTCCACTCCTACCAGATACCTTGGTTCTAGCTGCCGGCGTATCTTCACCTTTCTTCTTGCGGGGAAGGGCCCGGGTGTACTCACCCGGAGCAGCCATATGCCTCTGGTTCCCTGAAAATATAATATCGGAGACACGGAGCTCCAGCCTCCTATACCCGCCCTGTCCCCGGACAAGGGGACATGC